CTTTTTCTCCTTAAAATAGTACTGGTTTTCACTGTAAACATTTGATATGTTTATCATGTTTTATACATGTTTTAACGTTTGAATTCATGAAATTTGCAAATCATTGCATTCTGCCCACCCCAATTTAACCAAAGTCCCAACATTTCTTGAAGTGGGAGATGGAGTATGTATATGTCTCGAGTTTCATTTGTTTTTGTACCTCAGCTGAACTGAACCATCTTAAATCGTACAAAATATCTTCACACCTTGCTTCAGGCTATCAAAAGCAGGGGATTTTATGTTCAAACATCCACAGCCAGGACGGAACCACATTGTTCCTCCTAAATCTGAGGTTCTGCTATGAAGTGTACTCACTTCTCCACTGCCCCTGAATAGATCTTACTGGGGCAGTTCTAGTTTCATCCAAGGGAAAGCTGAAGGTATGCTGCAGGGTTTCCTTTAAGACTGCAACAAACCACCAGAAAACCTCTGCCAACAGCAACTCAAGACTTTAAGTGGACACACATAAGATCCCTGGATGTTTAATTGTCATGTCTACAGTAAATAAACAGTACAGACTCACTCTTGCCCTTGTGCTGCACAACACTGCACAGTATCAGACTGATGGTGTTGCTTAATGAGGCATTGGAACATTCCCACGAGTGTGGCGTCCCCCCCTGGCTTCAGCCTGTCATGGAGCAGATTGGACTCTGTCAGTGCTCCCAGTGTGAGAGAGTTGGAACTAATAGAGATATCAGAGGACTCTCTGCTACTTATCAGCCTTCGTTGTAAAGCTGCTCTTCTCGCGCTGCTCTCTGCTGGGACAGCAGAGCCTCTGACAGCTTCTTGTTCACTGACTTTTGGTTGAGTCTCTTCAACCTGTTTTCACAAGTGCTGCAGTTGCAAACATGTTTATTAGGATGATTTTATTTTCTGCTGTACTGTTTTGAAAACTGCATGAATTTATTCCCATTGTTGGGATTAAAGAAGTTATTCGTCGTGGGATTTCAGCTATAACTTTTGTTTTTGTGAAATGCATATATATTTCTTGCTGACATTTCTGTGTTTTTCTCAGTTAAATTTAGGATTAAATAAATAAATGTTACGGCTGAATAGTTTTAAATTAAGATCATCTTATGATAAGAAATCATGGACTTGTGGCCATTTCGGTCAAACTGTTTAAATGACGTTTTGCACAATCTCATGCAACACTGCAAGATCTTGCAAGTTGTATTAGCGATCAAAGTACCGGTATTTATCTAACTACTCTCAGCTACTACCACACCACATGAGTGTATTTTTTTTTAGAAAAATACTAAACTACTACCCATTTTTAGTATAGGTCACATTTACACAAAACAAATATCCCAATTTCACCTTCTGCAGTAGACGATAATAAATGTTTGGCAGCTGACATTCAGCATGTTTGTTTTTGGCTTACACAAAACCTTCTGCTGTTTTGTCTCACTGGCAAACAATTTAGCCTCAAATCAATATTTAAATGCAAAAGGGCATTTACACTCACTGAGTAGACCCTTCATAGTCCACCAATTATTGTTGCAGCCACACTGAAGGTGCGACTGTCTTCATGAATTATACACTCGATGCCATTCTGCTTCACGAAGTATCATAAACGTCCAGGAGGATGCGCTGCCACATTAATCAAAGTCATTAGGCAGCTAACGGGAGAATACTTACAAAGAACATTAGGGCTGTCGCTGGATCGAGCCCAGGAAATTAACAACTCACCAGGCAGAGACAATCCACATCACATATGAGTGATGGGAGCAGAGAGCATGAAGGTGGGCTGAGCCCATCTCTGGCCTGTACACAGGGTCGGCTTGACAGAAGCAATTAAGATGCTTAGCCTATTCTGTATTGTAAACCATCATTCATGTCAGTGCAAGGAGAAAGCTCCGTACGTTTATGTTTTAATAGTCCCGAGGTCTTAAAACCTCACTCTTGACCCAGTGAGGATATAAAAAAGGAAAAACAAAAAAAATCATGAATACACTGTGGATTGTGTTTTTTATAGTTCACTGCTTGAACTAAAAGTCTTTTTTTCTACAACAATTGTTGCACTCAGCGGTGAATTAAAAAACATCAGCTGCTTATTGCTCGAAAATGAGCAGCCAAGAGACCTGTGTGTGTGTGTGTGCGTGCAGAAGCAGTAAAAATGCTACATCACAAAACTGAAGGCAGATTCAGAGTTGAGTTATCTTCAATGAATTTATTCCTCTAATTTACAAATGGTGCAGCATTTTTTTGAACATTGTTCTAACTGTGCAGCCTGCAGCCACAATGATACCATGATAAAATGCTATTGGAAGCATGGTATGGGCTTTCTCAAACGTTTCGTGACATACCTTTTAAGGCCCAAATGTCAAAATTTGCGTATTATGTTATACGGTTCCAACACACCTGTCCCCTACACTAATCACCCCAGGTGTCCTCCATTGTCAATCACAGGTGTTCCTAATTATTCAGTCTTGTCCTCTTCTCATTGTCCATGGATTGTCCTCTTTGGCGTCATGTCCTGACTCCCTAAATTGCCACGTCAGCTGTTGTTTTATGTAGTTTAAATAAATAATATTGCTTTATTCCTGAGTTCTCCGAGTCCTGCCTGCATTTGGGTTCAAGCTATAGCGACAGATCATGATAAAATTTAAACGACTTAACTGTCAAATGTAAACACAGATCAGCAACATGTGCAATACGTTTATTTTTACCACATGACACAGTCAGAGTTAAGAAGCCAAATACACGCTTAAAGAAAAACGAGGTTTTTCTTTCTAATTTGCTGCGATATTAAAACTGAATGAAGCATCGTTTATTGTACCCCATACCTCATTATTCAGGTTGAATGTCACAATGTTTGATTGCTTCTGCCTCTGGTCAAAATAAGTGAGATTAGTCATGCTTGTATGATTGGAGAGTGGCAGTAGAAAACATTTTTTGATTGAGTAGCTGTAAGATCTTTAAAGATCTCAGCTGCACTGTTTTATCAGTGTCATTTTACCAACATTTGACTAGTATAATTTACCTTTTCAGGAATGACACAGGATTACTGGCAAATTATTCTTTGTGGCTTCAGGATTACAGTTTGTTCTGTTATGATGTTTTTATGTTTAGCTATGTGCTTTAATTTAGTCTTTATAGTTAGAAGACCACTCCTGGAGCACAGCGTTGCTCTTATTTGACGGAGAGCAACATCTCAGTGCTTTATATTTTCAGACAGACAGATGTAAAGACACGCTTCTTTGCTTTGTAATCGATTTTGTTAGAATTCTGCAGGAGAATGTTTTCTTTTGCTGCTGATACCTGGGCTCAACTTTCTGACTCTGAAGAAGACTTTGTCTTCTGTTGTGCGTTGGGCTGCAGATTAATAGAGGTCACAACAACAAAGAAACAACTGACTGTAGCTCCAACGTATCAGTCTTTTATGTTGTTTGTTGGAGTTTTGTTTTCCCTTCTGGAGGGTTTACTGTATATAAATGTGCTAAAAATAGAATGTTCTCATGTCTAATGCTCTTACTTAGTGTGCAGATTGAACCAAACCTAAATAAAATGCATCCATTGATGATGTTATCTAAGTCAATTCTAGATTGACGTTATTATTGGAGTTTCACTATAAAGAGGAGTAACTTTCAAAGCGCTAACAGACTATAACTGTTAATGTACATAACTATTTTATTGGAATAATAGTGTGATTGCTTAAGAAGGATTCACACTATTGTGATCCATTTTTTTGTTTTTAGGTATCTAACTCGTGCCACAGTTTTTATGCTATTTCAACAAATCGTATATCAAAACAGGACAGATGGGTCCTTTAGCATGTGTTAAAAGCTGCTTCTGAGATTACAACAGGAGGTTGGCTTGAAACACAGCAATGAAGGCTACTTATGGGACAGATCTGGTTGGCAGGCCACAGACTGATGAAGTCTTCTGGATGGAAGAAATCTTTCCCTTTAAAAAACTGGTCCAGATGAAATGATTTAACCTTTTTCGTATATCAAAACGTTCTGGTATTTCAGGAGAGGGGTGATAGGACTTTTGGTTTTGGTGCAACTTTTAGCTTTTTGAGATATTTAGCCTTTTCCACAATTTTCTTCCTCATTGAAAATGAATTGAGCTCATTTTACATCCTTCATATCTTTTGATCTGTTTAAAACTTTTTGCTACTACTTTCACATTTGGATCAATTTAAGCTTCTTTCAGCTTCCTTGTGCAAAAACAAACAAACAAACAAACAAACAAACAAACAAAACAAGCTACTTTCAGCTAATTTTTCAACTGTTTTGTGCTCATTTCAGCTTTATTCAGCTAAGTCCAACAATTTTGTGCTTCTTGTAACTTATTTCTGCTAATTCCATCTTGTTTCAGCTTATTTCTGTTAAATTCAGTTTATTTCTGCAATTTCAACTAATATTTAGCTGTATTTATGCTAATTTCAGCCTATTCAGCTAATTTCACATTGTTTCAATCATTTCAACTTTTTTTCGCCCAATTCAGCCAAATCTTGCTCTACACATTAACCTTCTGGTAATTTAAGTTTTTTTTCTGCTTGTTTTAGCTACTTTTGATCTGTTTTTGGCAAATTTCAGCTTTTCTCAGGTACTTTCAACTTTTTTGTACGAATTTCTGCCTCATTCAGCCTTAATGGGCACAATTGTGCTCACTTCCCTGGAAATTTAAGCTTCTTTTTACATTTCTTTAGCTACTATTTAGCTGTTTTGGGGAAATTTCTGCTTATTTAAGATAATTTCCACTTCTGTTTTTTTCTAACTTAGGCTTGTTCTTCCTTGTCAGCTAGATTTCAGCAAGTTTTGAGCTAATTTCAGCTGTTTTTCAGCAAGTTCTTCAGCAAGAAGCATTCACACTGCATTTTTGCAGGAAATGCAAGTTCTCTAGTTAGTAATAAGTTTGTTTTCTCAAGTTGGTATTCAGTTAAATCTGTAAACAAAAACAACACAAATGTGAATCCGATGCAGACATTTGTCTCCTTTTCATTACTTACTGACCTTCACCACGTCCTCGTCAGTGGAGCGGCACTTCACTGCCTCCGAGACATCAGTCACCAAGCCGTCTGTTCTGATGGTCACCACCTTTACTGGGACAGCTACTGTCTTTCCGGTCAGGACAGCCGTGTTTAAAATCTCACTGTCCTAAAGGTAAAAAGATAAACAGAGATCAGCAGGCTGTTTTTCTGAAAGACTCAGGAGTTTCTAATTCTTACCAGAACAGATCAGAGGTTCCTAGAAAAGAATAAAAACAATGAAACCTTCCAGAGTCTTTGAAAATGACTTGAAGAGACTTTGCACAATCACTGCTCCATTAGAGATTATTTGGTCCACCGCTGTGAAGTTAGAACTACTGCTGGGTGGACATCTAATAATTGATGGCGGCTGCTGAGCTCATTACCAAGGGTGCCATTAAATCCAATAAAAGTGTATGTTTTCCGTCTGATTGTACAAGGCCACTGTGCAAGTGGGCTTTAGCTGAACTTTCAACATTTTGATCTAATTGTGATATTACCTCTAATTGTTTGGGAGTTATCATTTTAAGTGTTTAAATGAGGGTGGGAACATTCATCACACACACACACACACACACGTTGCTCCAGAGGTCAGCACTTACATATTCACTGCAACAGATCAGCAATTTGGATTTGTGTCAAATGATTGTAGACAGTTGAGGGATACCTACAAACACTGTATGGGACACTCATTGTTTCTTACATAATAAATCATAATTTATCCTTTGTCTCAAAATGAAGACCCAGGACATTCTTGTAAAATATATTAATAATCTCAATGGATTTATTACCTGTTAAAGTAAAGGTTTAAATCAATTTATAGACCCGCTCCCAAAAAAAGCCAGGCAACAGTATTTAGTGCCCAGGTTATCAAGTTTTTATTATCTTAGATCAACAAATTATTTTTCTTTATTTTGGTGATTGGAGTTGCTCTTGTTTTGAACAAACACTAAACCAACCAGACAGTCAGCCAACCAACCAACCAGCTAGCCAGCTACCTGTGATTTTTTTTTTCACAGTGATTATTCTGGTTAGAGATGCATGAGTCTAACAGCATCAGGGTAGAAGCTGTTCCTCAGTCTAGTGGTTCTACACTTAATGCTCCTCAACCTCCTGCCTGAGGGGAGCGGAGCAAAAAGTGTGTGTGCTGGGTGAGTGTGGTCCTTCATGATGCAGGTGGCCCTCTTCCTGCATCTGGAGGTGTAGATGTCTGTGATGGTGGGGAGGCTGACTCCAACAGACTTCTGTGCAGCCTTCACCACTCTCTGCAAAGCTTTTCTTTCTGCAGCTGTGCAGCCTCCATGCCACACGTTGATGCTGGAGCACAGGATGCTCTCCACTGTACACCTGTAGAAGGAGGTGAGGACTGAGCTTCACAGACCAGCTCGCCTCAGCCGTCTGAGGAAGTAGAGTCTCTATATAAAATATTATCTACAAAATGTTTTCGAAGGAAACAAAACAAACAAACAAAAAAAGTAATTATTTGTATTTTAATTAGCATATTTTAATTTATATTGTAGTTTTGTTCAACTTCAAATCCTTTTTTGTAGAACATTTTGTTTTCCCTGCACAGCTCTCAGCACACAATCTCAGACGTCCACACCTGCTCTGTAATTACTTGTGACTTTCTTTAGAATATTTGCCACTTGGCTTCACTTGCTCCCAGCAAGAACCTCCTCATTGTTAGTCATCAGTGTTTGTTGATGAGTTTTTTTGTTTGTTTGTTTCATTTTATTAAACACACCTTGTTGCCCAGTTTTTTCTAAGAATTTCTGTTTCTGCTTTAACAGTGCATATTAGAAAAAATTTCATTTGTTTGAGTTTGTCCCCTCTAGATTAACCAGTACATTACATTTCTATCAAGTCTAGGAAAAACTTGATGCAACAAAACAACACAAAACTGGCAAAGTACAAAACAACACATGAACACAGATTCCAGCATTTCACTATATATACTATTTAAAAATAAAGCAAATTAACTTTATTTTACTTTGTTCTCAAACAGAAGTAAACATGTTTATATTTTAGTTGCTATTTAAAACCCAGCAGAAACAGTTCATTAATAAAGGGTAACCTTTTACATCTATTTTCTTGTTCCCAGAAAAAATAAAAAAGTCATAACAATATTTCAATATTAAATACATTGAAATCTTAAATAGCACAAAGACAAACACCACATTGATATTTATTTGGATGGAGTTTGTGATGGACACAAGCTTCCTTAATATTAATTTTAGTCAGCTGGTAATTTCTACTTTTTCATTCCAGATTTTAAGTGACAACATGACAGCAGCTTCTTAATGAACAAATTTTTGTGACAACACAGACCACCATTATTTTGACAATATGCTTATGCTCTTTTTAAATAAAGGTATAGGATCTGATTGAAAGAAATAAGGTAATTCTGACTAATTATATTCCACTGTTATTTGTTAACAGATGGCATCAACAAACTAATTACATGCTAGAGAGGAAAACTTAATATAAATTGCAGTTATCATGTAATACAGAAAAATAATAGCCCAGCCTCATTCTTCAAGCATGTATGTAAATTAACACTTAGTGCCCAATTAGTGCAAATCATTCTCACATAAAAAGCTTGAAACTCCTCATCTTGCTCTTCTGCTGCAAGAGGGGTGCTGCTGCTAATAGGTGAACTCCGTGGTTCAGACAGCTCTGGTTCTTTGAGCTCATTGGGACATCTTTATAACTGAACAGAAATGTTAACCTTTTATTATTCACATAGTCACACACTTTTGTCAACAAAGACAACTGGGACCAATTAGGACAAGTCTGAGGTAAGTTTTATTCTTTAAAGTGGATTGTCTCTCGGCCCATTCCGCTCAGAAAAACTGCAGCTAAATTCCTCAGATTGATGTAAAGCTCAGCACAGAACGGTAAATAGCTGCGTTTGAGGTCAAAGTAGGTGTCTTAATATCTGCACTGTATGGCAAACATGAGCTTCAGTTTTCTGTTGAACTAAAATGACTTTAGGTAATGTTAAAGTTGACAAAAGTGACTCATTGTGAGCTGTTTTCATTCCGCTATTGGCACTGCCTGACACAAAAGCTCTTTTCTGATTCCTTTCATTTCAATAGTCAGAAACCTCAAATGCTTTCTTTTCTTCCCCACTGACTTGATGCTTTGAGACATTTAGCTGCTTCTTATTTTTCTTTTAAAAAGGGAGAAAGAAATCCAATGCCGGAGTGATTTCTGTTGAATTAAATGTCACATTTGTTTAGAGTTTTATTGCTAAACCTGAGGAGCACAGACAAGGCTGATCTACAGCACCTGGCTTCCTGTCCATATTTATGTGCATTCCCACTCTAAGGAAGTATAGAAGATTTGTATACTGCACTGTCAACTCAGTTTCTAAAGATTTTTCTGGGTTTGTGGGCTTGCAAATAAGACTCGTTCAAAAAAAAAGAGAAAATCGGGGATTAGGCTTGATTGAAAGAAGCCCGGTCGTTTGTAAGACCGCCCGACTTCAGAGCGAAGTGATTATTAGCTGAGCCAAGAGATACTAATGAATCATATAAAACACTTAATCTTCAAATAGCTTTTCATTACAATTTTATAGACTGTGACTGTGTTATATAGCAATATCACCCCCCACCCGCACCTCCCTTTGCGGCACAGACTTTGATTCAATTTCTTTTAAAAGTGAGAATCGCTGTGAATTAATTCTATGTATATTGGGATCCCTCCATTTCCAGAGGGTCATCTATAATATATGGAGGGCTAAATGGTTGGGACCTGGTGAAAGCAGAGGCTAATGTTAGATTACAGCAGCTGGAAATGACCCAGCAGGTTAGGAACAGCAGATAGTAGAGCCTGGCAGTAATAAGCCACAGTGGGATTCCACAGTGATGCATCAGTGGTCTACGCACTTAAACACAGACAGCACAATTAAACACAAAATGAAAACCAGCGGTGCGCATCAGAAGCCTAAAGTAGCCTGAACGGAGACACAATGAACTGTGGCCATTTGAAAGTGGGAGAATGTGCACAATTCCTGATGAGGTTTTCAAAAAACGACGAGGTGCTTATTTGAGATGCAACACATCTAAAATTGAAAGTTGCACTTTGTTAGTGAGTTAGTTGATTATTTGTTTTTAAAATGCCAAAGATGTACAGAATGTGTCATTTGTTGTTCCTAAGGTATGTGCCATGCTGAATGTAAAGGTGCTGTGTTATTAACATATTAAGAACTAATAGTACCACTAAAAACAGCCATATTTAAGGTAAGTTACCAAGAGAAAAAAACTGTAGTAATTGTAATCTATGTGTCTCGTTATCATACTGTAGAGCAAAATAAGACAAAAAATTATGCTGCCAGTTAGTTTGTATTAATTTTATTTTCTCACTATTATGGTATCTAGTTTAAAGATACATTTTGCTGTAGATAATCTATGTAACAACAGAAGGTTAATTAGAAAAGAATGCACCACACAGAGAACCACATATGTGTGATCACTGCATGGGTCTGAATAAATTCAAAATGCACAGTTTGCTGTGAAAAAAAAGCCTTTACATTAAAAGCTATGCACTGTCTTTTAAGGACCACCTATTTTACAACCAAGTGGCTAAAGATATTTAATGCCTTATATGGAAAGCGCAACATAAAATACATGAACTTGGAACTGTAGAAATGCTCATAATCCATTAAACTGTCTGTAGTTTTATGTTTTCTTTTTATATTTTATCCAGTATACCCAATTAAATCACTGTATGATCAGCAAAGCTGCTGTGCACAACACATAAGTGATGAATAAAACTACCCTGGGATAGCCACCAGCTAATCAAACCTGAAGAATAATATGCTATATCCCTTTATGACTTCAAAATTCTAACAGATGTAGTGCAATAGTCTGCCTTACCTTAAATGTATTAGATGGCTGAACCCGTAAGAGTCGTAACATAAATTGGGGGGTCGTCCGGGATTTACGCCTTTTTCGGTGCATATCGTGCATGTGTACAGGTTGGTAAGTGTTATAACATACAAACACAAGATAAACTAAAATAAAATTGCCAAATCTGGCAGGTTACTTGTAATGAGGACCAAGAGCAAAGAGGTTTAGCAAATAATATATCTGTAATTCTTTAATCAATATATTAGGAGACTGCGAC